ATTTGTGTTGGGGGGCCCGACTTTTTTTTTTCTCCAAAGGGGGGAAATCATGTTTTGTTAGCCGGATCATCTCCACATGTCTACCCTACTTTTATACATTTTTCAAATCATAAATCTAATCGCCAGAAGCAAAATGCTAACGTTATGCTATAAAGGAACTACAGCCGAGTATAGCAGGGTCGCACGACTTCAACGTCACGCCAACTTAAGATCCATATTCAAACATACAGATTCTAAATTGTCCAAGTTGAAGCGTTTGTTTGAACAGTTGCAGGAGGCAGGTACTTGCTTTCAAGCAGAACAGGGCAAACAACGGGAGTGTTTACGTGTTCGGTATGACGTACAACGGCCTCCACAACTTCTGTAGTCCTATTCAGCCACTTGTTAACAACCATCGTTTTTCAGACACGTAAACTCTTCAGAAATCCCCAGTGGGGTCACTGCTGATGGATTTAATGTCGTAGAACAAAATGTGATCCGTCTCAACACAGTTTCCAGTATTTCGAATCCCTTGGCTCTGAGACGAGGGAACCGGTAGTGGTAAAATGCTAACTCACTTCTGGGTTTTAGGACTCGTCACTGTCCGTTAGAGGGTCTCGAGCATGTTAAATGTCTGTTTCCTTGTACCCTGTCTTATCTATTTGTCCTTGTTGATGCTGCAAATGGAGCCGCTGTGATGCAGGAAACACTTCAGACCTGATCTGACACTAAAGTATTATCATATCCTATGGTATTACAGTGTAGTGAGTGCATGGGGGGTCCCTCACCAGCTCGTTGGCGTGCTTGGACCAGGCCAGGTTGCAGACCTGAGAGCTGGTGTCCATGCACTGCAGCGGCTGGGAAGTCAGCGTGTTCCAGAAGCGGATGCAGCGGTCGGCGGTGCCCCCCCCGGAGGCCAGCAGCCCGTGCTGGTGGGGCGACCAGGCGATGGCCTTCACTGCAGCCAGGTGGTCCGTGTAGGTCTGCACCGGGCTCAGGGACGAGTGGTTCCACACCAGCAGCTGAGTTAATACAACACAAATAAAGCTTTATTTATACAGAAACTTCATACACAGGCAAAATTAGTAGAGATGCACCGATTAAAAATAAATCTGAATTATATTTTGTCTTGTTTTATTTAAGTCCCGTGTTTATTGATCTCTTTTTCTTTTGCTCTGTCCATGGACGCACAGGAGGAGGGGGTTATGTATTTTCATTTTTTATTATGAAGCACATTTTTGTTAACTTCTTTTATGCATGGTTTTTATGAATCTGTTATTCCATTATGTTTATTTATTGTGTTCCTTTCTGTTGTGTTATTATTAAGTGTTACTGATGATGTGAAGAACTTTGAATTGCCTGTGTCTGAAAATGTGCTTTTAAATAAACGTACCTTACCTTCTAGTAAAAATGTCCTACAATATAAAACATGCATTACAGTTTTCATTTGTAAATAGTTGAGTGGACGGTACCTTGTTGTCGTTGCCCCCCGATGCGAGCAGCTGATGGTCGGTGCTCCACTTTAATCCGCACACTTCCTGTCTGTGACCCTGCAGACGCCGCTCTGACTGCAGGGGGGGGGTCCGCATGTCTCTCTGCAGGATCATACGGTCACGGCTCCCCGAAGACAACTGGTCTGCGTTCCAGGCTAACGCTCCTGCACACAGAGGGAAAGCTACATTAATGAAGGCCCTGCATTGACCTTTGACCCCAGAAACATCTTCACACCTCCTCCTTCCTTATTCTACTTCTTGACCCCTGCCACCTTAAATCTGAGGTTGCGGGCAAGATGTCAGTTTTGTTCAGGAAGGTTTCTGAACGACCCCGAAGTGTCATCCATGATTAGAGCTGTTCTGTTTCTCTAGGTGATAGGAAAGGAGCTTCAATGCTTCCTTTATTATCTCCTTTAGGACACACTTGACAATCCTTTTACGAAGGGAAAGGACATAATGCTGTCCCACAATTCTTTGCGGCTGCAACATTTAAAGTGAGGCAACAGTCGGTGGTTCACAGAAACAACTGATCGTGACAGAGGATTGTGAATCATGTGAGTTACGCTTAGGGTTGGGAACTGAAACTCGGATCCAGATGAGAACCGATAAGAAAATGCCTTTGTACCCATACAACATTTTGGTTCTGCTTAACGGTTCCTAAACGCGGTAGACCCTGTATTCCACCGGGCCCGTCTGCACCGCGGTGACCCGGTAACCGTGACAAGTTAATAGCTTGCCACAGGCATAGCTCAGTTAAAATAAAGCACAGCTATTGTGTAATACATTTGTATTGCATGTATATTTTTTATTTGTAAAAATGTCAGTTAAAGCTTAAAAGAATAAAGATATTTTTGTTATCTAAACGTTTGACCTCTTTCTTTTACAATTTTGGAATCGAAACGGGGAATCGATAAGAACCGGAATCGATAGATTTCAAACGATACCCATCCCTAGTTACGCTGCTTATTGATCATTTCACAACTTGTGTTTTAAACTTTGTGCTAATTTGAGATGAATAAAGGATAGCTAATCTTATAAAGTAAAAACAAAGACTCTCACTCACCGACTCTCGCCGTGTGTCCTTCCAGGGCGAAGAGTTTCTTCCCAGCGCCGGCGTCCCAGATCTGAACGAAGCCTTTGTGAGTCCCCACCGCCACCAGGTTCCCCTGAAACAGGAAAATACATGAAGTCGTGTGACCGTGCTGAAGTTCCTTTATAGCCCAACATTAGCCGCCTTTAGCTTAGCGTTTCCTTTATATCCTACTGTTAGCTTTTTACTTCAGAAATCATAAAGTGGTGTTAATACGTGGAGATTATCCGGCTGAACTAAACGCGTAAGAATCATAAACGTTTATTTGACATGGAGATCATTTTTCTGCAATAATCCAAATCACATGGAGAAATCCCATTGAACTAGGGAGATGCTGCCTTCAGGCTCCAACACAGAAATACGACATCACTGCACCACTATATACAATTCATTCCTTTACTCACCCTTTCGGACCAGCCAACGGACGTGACTGAGTCTCCCTCCACCGACAGATCACACAACCGTGTTACCTGAAGAAAACACATATCAACCAGTGATTATCGTATTCATGCTGTCAATGAACAAAACCATACACACACAGCAAGCAGTTAGCATCCCTGCTATGTATCCGCAGTGTGAGCAGTGAGCAGTACCTGGCTGGTGCAGGCGCTCCACAGGTACACGCAGGTCCCCAGCCCCACGCTGAGCACGTTCAGAGACGACCAGTCCACCAGGTTCAGGTAGAAGTCGTCCTGCAGCTCCGGAGCGTCCAGGACTTTAAACGGGATCTTTGAGATCTTTCGAGTTGGCTTCCTCGGCGAACGCAGCAGCTTCTGACTGCAGCGGGACAAAAGAGCGACATTATGTGACGCCAAAATGTAAATGTGAGTTTCTTTTAAAGATGGCAATTTTCTTTGGCCAATTATTGCAGATTTGTCCATCTTTCCAAGAACTGTAATCGATGCAGCAAACACACACAATGTATATTCTCAGTTCATGAAGAATACGATACGATAGTGTTATTATCCGAAACAGCATGAAGTGGTTCTTGCACCGAAGCAGCTACAACATCATTGGTGCATTTTTAGATTCTTTGTGTGGAGATCAACTATAACATATCTAAAAAACTCAAATGTGTGCTTTACCTTTTGTTGCTGACAGGTGATAGGGAGTAGGGGGAGATGTTCGTGCTGTCGTCCGGTGAAGACCTCTTGGTGTTTAGTGAATACTGCACACACAAATAGAAACCATTATTTCTCCACGAGCTTTGTTAAATCAACATGAAACACTGAAGACAAACTGAATAGTAACATTCTTCTATTTGATCATGTTTTTTTGAAGGACTCCAGAAAGCATTTTGTACGGTATGTTTTGTCTGATATTGTTTGATCACTGTTAAGGAGTATGAGACGACATGTTCCTACATTAAAGAGACTTCTCTTCTCTGGGGTTGACGGCTGCAGTCGCCTGTCTTCGGTCTGAGGGTCCTGGATCTTCTCTATTCCCGCTCCCAGCAGCTCGTTCTTCAGCAGAGCAGAGTAGGCCAGCCCGTCTGCTGCTGCACCATCACACACACACACACACACACACACACACACACACACACACACACACACACACACACACACACACACACACACACACACACACGGAAACTTTCAATAATTTGTCTGGTAACAAACACACATTTGTTAAACAAATAAAGTTTGCATCATGTGGTCTGAATGAGAAATGTAGACTTTGTGTTTTAAAGAGGAATGTGACAGAATGTTGGTGTGTGTTATAAACTAAGACAGTTAATACATATGAGTCAGTGCATTTATAATTTATTTCATCATAAGTAAATGACCGGTGTTTCCATTAAAGTGTGTGGAAACGCACACTGCTCTGTTGCTCCATGGCATGTTGGAATAAATATAAGACGTACATTCTTTTTAGTGACAAGCTACGAAGAAACAGACAGATGAGTGTTGAAAGATATGACAGGATTTAATCTTCACTGTATCCGACAGGCACTGGAGAGAGTGGGAAGAGTACCTTTATCAAACAGATGAGGATTATCCATGGAGGAGGATACACAGAGGAGGACAAGAGGAGCTATGCCAAACTGGTCTTCCAGAACATCCTCACCTCCATGCAGACCATGACCCGAGCCATGGAGGCGCTTGGGATCAATTTAGCTGATCCCAAGAATCAGGTACTGCTGACAGACTAAAACTGACTCTTCAACTTTTGAAATTAGTGAGAACTTATTATTAGTCTGGGGTTGATTTTAGATTCATTTTTTGGCCAAATTGATATGGATTTTCTTTTGTTTAAATGTGTTTAGCACCTTTTAATGATGCGGGAAAATACAGGTATATTCTGACGGACAGTTTAAGAAAAATAATGTTCTTTTTCAACATTTGAGCCGTTTACCATCTTTTAGTAAAATCCCCTCTGTCTTTGTGTCTATAGAGCCATGCCAACCTAGTCCTTGAGGTGGAGGTGGACAAGCTGGAGGAGTTTTGTCAAGACCTTGCAGCGGCCGTCAGATGTCTGTGGGACGATGGCGGGATACAGGAATGCTATGACCGACGCAGGGAGTACCAGCTGTCCGACTCCACCAAATAGTGAGAATTAGACAAACAGGTGTAACGTGTTGCTTAATATTATCAGAGATTCCAGCTCTGCCAAATATTCACCACATTTATTCAGAAGGTTGACAAAATAGCAGGTAATGCTTCATCTCCACAGAATAAGCACCACAAATAGGTCGATTTAACCCCTCTATGATATGGGAGAGTTGCATTTATTATGATTCAAGTATTTGAGTGTTTTTTGCGTTATTAAAGGCAGAGCTGTACTGTATCTACCTTAAGACACTGAGGTTACGTAATTGCTGTTATTTCCTGTACAAATGAATTTTGTATCAACCTGCAGGAAATGTACCTTCAATTCATAACACTCATTCACACTTGGATATTGTTTATGCTATTAATGCATGCAATACATCGATTTAGAATATTGCCATTTGACTACATTAAGACCAACACAAATAAGTAAAGAAAAAAAGGATTGTGTACTTCTTCACGTATTCCTTGAAGGCTTTGGGAATTTGGATCTTAATATTGGTATTTATCTGTACCTTGTTCTTTTCTATCTGACTATAATACAGGAGGTGTCCCTTCTGAGCACAAAGAGATGTACCTGGTCATAATGGAACACACATTAACATAACAAATCATTCAGAGCTTTGTGAGGCTTTGATATTTTAGATAAAAAGGCATAAGAAAAGTAACTGTTTTTAGCTTTTGGATGCTATTTTTAACGATACTGTAAATGCACTGTGAACTAAAATAATACATCGTTGTACTTCTCTCTTAAAGCAAAACTCTTTTCTAATGGTTTCCACTTTCACTAACTCTGACTTTGCAATTTATTCGTACAATCCCACCAATCAATCAGGTTTTTCTCATGCCCCTTTTACCTGTTTTAACAGTCACAAAATCTCCTTCATGTCAGGTATTATCCATATTTCGTCCTCTCCTTGATCTCATTCTCTTCTCATTTTTCAGCTATCTCACGGACCTGGATCGGATTTCTCAACCCTCTTATCTGCCTGACCTGCAGGATATCCTCAGAGTCCGAGTGCCAACCACGGGTATCATTGAATACCCCTTTGACATGGAGAATGTCATCTTCAGGTGAGATATAACACTCCATAAAAACAGGTAACGGTTAAACATGATACATTGGAACAATAAGCATTAAAGGCGTTGCGTACCTTTTCTGTTGTTGTTGTTGTTGTTATGGCAGGATGGTGGATGTGGGAGGTCAGAGGTCAGAGAGGAGGAAGTGGATCCACTGCTTTGAGAACGTCACCTCCATCATCTTCCTGGTGGCGCTCAGCGAGTACGACCAGGTCCTGGCTGAGTGCGACAACGAGGTGAGAATTCAGCTCAGTGATTGGCAGATCAAGTTCCAGATTTTAAACATTTTAAATGTGTGGTCCTTTTTCTTTCTTTCTATGCTGCAATGTTCATCTCAGAACCGTATGGAGGAGAGCAAGGCCCTGTTCAAAACCATCATAACTTACCCCTGGTTCCAGCGCTCCTCAGTCATACTTTTCCTCAACAAGACGGACATCATCAAGGAGAAAATCTTGCACTCTCACATAGGCGACTACTTCCCGGAATTCACAGGTGAGTTCGTTTTTAGCCACTTTATTGGCACACGTAGCTGAAATGAATGCATAGTACAAAAGTACTATACTGAGTATGATTACTATTATTTGTCCGATTATATCATGTATTCTCTCCATGTAGCCTATCAATGAGGGAATGCACAACCTCTCTGTATGATGAAGCACAACAGCACCAAAAATTACATCCTACAAAATTACATGTTGAATTAAAAAAAATGTTAAACAAAAACTGAACATTGTAACCTAAACTTCATAAAGATAGATCTGCATTTTTATTTTAGACTGGTAGTTTCAGCTGGGTCTACCTGTATTAAACCGACTGGTGTGAGGCGTACAAGGTCGAAAAGGTGGCATACACACGATGAAAATATTATTAAACACTTAACCCTCCTGTTGTGTTCGTTTCCCCCCCCTACTGGCCTGACAGAAAAAGTTTGAGAACCACTGCATTAACTCAACAAACATTAATCATCACCAAATTTCATTCAACACCCTTTCAAACTGTAAATATTGTATCAAACTACTGGTATACATGAAAAACGGCAGTAAATATACAAAGAATAGACACTGAACATGTATTGCGTGTGCCAGGTGTGATCCATGTGGGGGGATGGGCACATAAGAGCGGGAAATGTATCAAATTGTTCTGTGTGTGTGTGTTTGCCAGGTGTAATTCACATGGGGGGATAGGCACATAAGGGGGGAAAACACATCTAGTGTATGTGTGTGTGGGTGTTTTATCTGACCCGGATGGTTACTAATTCCTTTTCTTTATGGCGGTCATTTTTGACCGGGAACACCATGGGTGTTACAAAGTTGACTAAATCATCCAAAATGCAATGAAAGTGGTGATCAGCAATTGTATATGTTCAAATGTCTACTGTGAAGGATATCATAAAGCCTTAATGCAATCGAATGTAAAACAAAGAAATTATGATTGATGAAAGTAGTAAATCGGTCATATTTGACCCGAACACAAAAGGAGGGTACACACCCTGTGCACAGAGAAACATCTGAAGACCAGCATCCATTTATTTTAGATTAGGTTTGTCTATTTATTTTTAAATCTTAAACAAATAATTGTCGACTTTAATGAAAACATAATGAAATATTACCGTCCTTGAATTACAGGACCTAAGCAGGATCAATCAGCAGCTCAAGATTTCATCCTGAAAATGTACCAAGAACAAAACCCGGACAAGGACAAGGCGCTGTACCCTCACTTCACCTGCGCCACGGACACAGAGAACATCCGCTTCGTCTTCGTCGCCGTCAAAGACACCATCCTCAGACACAACCTGAAGGAGTTCAATCTGGTGTAGAGCGGCAGGACAACACACATGATAGAAGAAGATAATTACATTAAAACAAAAAATTCAGTCAATTGTCTTGGCTTTCTTAACAGTTAGATACACTGATCGATGTATGCTTCTTTAATCCAAAGGTTTAAAAATAATCTTTTGTGCCTGTTCAAATCCAGCCTAAGAGAATATGAACATTTAACAGACATACCTAACCTAATGTCTCGGTAGCTTAGTGTCTGAAATGCATTGTTTGTTTTCTTGTGTAGGCCTACTGTAGTTTCAATTGGAGCCTGTTATAGAAATGTGTTGTACTAAGTTTATATATGAAAATGAGTGTGAATTCATATCTTTGACCTATTGTGTGGGCTACTTATTTTATTAGTTTTTATATATTTTCAGAAAAGGGATCCAAGTAAATAATTTATGCTCACGCAATCGCTGTGAGTCCCTTTAGTCCTAAAGTCTTTGATTTAATATGATGTGGAATTATTTTTTGTCTAACACTGAGCCACATGTGTCGGCTGTTGCTCAAAAGTGCCTTATTTACTCAGGACAGTCACACAAACAATGAGTTTGTTTAGATGTAAATAATCCAAGTTGTGCTTTGGAGGACTCTACTCACATGTTATTTTTCAAGAGAAATGGATATATTTATGGACATTTCCAATAAACAATTAAAGATATTAATAAAGAGTGCAAGTGGAAATTTCCTTGGTACAAGAGATACATTCGAAACACATATTTTATTTTTTTTGAACGTATGGGGGAAAAATGGAACCGCTGCAGCGAACACTTGATGCTCAAAATAACACACATTAATGGCAAAAGAAATATTAAGTCTGTTAATATTTAGTCGAACTAAATTGCGATACAACCCAAAGCAATCCTTTAAAATATACAACAGAGTAAACATCAGCTGTTAATAATTAGCATTCATTTCTTTTAAATATACTTTTCTCTGCATAATTCATCAACATAGTTGGCATTGCATATGTGTGGTATAAAAACATAAAAATCACAAAAGTACAATCTGTAACGCCATAATACAGACTAGTGTGTGAGGATGAGTATATACAGATACCATATGAGATTAATATACAGCAGATTGATACACAAGAATATAAAAATAGCATGCGGCTCTCAATCATACACTGAGCAGTCTTCATCTTGTATAAAAAACGAGGAAAATGGAGAGTCAAATAAAACAGTAGTTTGAGCACAATTTGAATTATATGAGTTACAGAGCCAATCTCAAATATATATTAGTTTCCCTTATACAATCCAGTAAAAAAAAAAAAAACAGCATACAACATTAAATGGGCTACAACTGTGGTTGATTTGGCTTCAATGTCATTTAGGCTGTTTCCTACCAAGACATCATTAATATGTTTAATAACACTGAGAGCTAAGGAAATGATTGACTGAATGTGTTTGATTGAGAATGGCAAACTATGAAAATCTTCCAAATTTCAACAGCCTATTCAGGCCAAAGCAGATAAGCTGTATGTTTAAATGTGCGTCAGTTTTAATAAAATAAATCATTAAAAATCAGCAGAGCAAAATGAGTGTAATCAGAGCAAAGACAGTGGAGTGAGTTCAGAGCTTCTGTGGTAAATAAATGTACGTCAGCCGTCTATATAGCACTTGTGTAAGCATGCACACATACACACTATCACGCAGCCACTCGTCCCGACACACACCAACATACAGCCTCGTGTAATTGGACTCAAACAGGGAGGTAAACAACATGAGCATGCGGTGAAGAACAAAGGCACTGACACACACAGACTTTGTGTGTTCTTTTTTCTTTATCATTTCTCGCTCTTCTTCGTTGGTCAGTATTTATGCAAACTCTCTCTTGCATCGTCCAATCTGGCCAGAACCCACTGAAAATCAAAGCAAACCAAAGTTGGGAATACATTTTGTACACTTCACTTCATTCTGTGACTTCAGGCTGATGGATAGATTTATATATATATACGAGCATTATAGTACGAATGGTCAACTTACAGTAGCGATCTCAGGAGTTTTGAAGTTTATGATCTTCCCAAACTCCTTAGCGTGGAAGACAGACTTCACTCTCTCCTGAAGTGCACAAGACGACACATTTAGTGCTATAATAATTGTTTAAAACTAGCTATGAATCAGTATAAACAAAGGTTTCCTATGGAGGAGCATCAAGCTTCTGATTTGGATTTCAATATCGTGTTTGCTTTTGTACCTTGGCCTCAATGCGAAGTCGGCGGTCCTCAACAATCATGGGATCCTTGGTGAACTCTTCAAACAGATACTGCCACTCACAGGTCAGCTGGCCAAACGTGCCTTTGGTCACAAAAAAGATTCCCCTGGAAAAGAAAGCACATAAAAAGGGTTGGACAAAGCAACGTATATCACACATCGAGGTTTACACCGTATCGAAACATGCAGTGGAGATGATCTGGGATTCAATGATTTCACGTATTCACAGGTGTTTGTGAAAACGAGAGGAAAATAAAAACGTTATCTTAGAACAACCTGATATGAGAAAGCAGCCGGAAATGATTCTTCTCACCAGGATGCAGAAACACACTCACCTCTTGGTGATCATGAAGAAGTCTGAATCATTGACCTTGGCATGAGCAAAGTATCTGTACTTGGCAAAACGTCCATTCTCAATTTTCTGGAGAAAAAAGGGAGAATGTATATTAGCAAACAGAAAGACCAAAGAACAACTGAATCTGAATGATACTGAAACATAGATTCCAAGATATCTGTGCTCAGTGGAAATGTATGAAAGTGTGTTCTAAACAACTGCATACTGTAGATAAGCATGAGCTACTCTGGTCCTCTGCTGAATGGATGAAAATGTTGAGGGGTGACGAGGAAAAATGGGATGAAACAAAGACAAAGACAATGGCAGGTAGAAGTTGTAATGTGAACATTTTATTGAGAACAAGAGGGCAATGGAAGACAGAATGATAAAACAAACATAAAGAAATAAGGACAAAGACAAATTAAAACAAAATGATAATGAAAAGTGTTTGACAACGACTACATCTCTGAACATAAGAGGGTTTGTTTTGTAGCTTGTGAGAAAATGATGAATGAAAAGAATGGGGTTTAAATGATAAAAGAGAAAGACACTCAAATATGAAGAAATCTCACATCAATTTAATAAACAACTAAATATACAAAACACATATTCTTAAATTACTGAGAGGTTCTTCATTGGTTAATTAACTTGAACTACACTAATGCTACACTACAGCTATCTTCTAGCTAGTCTTCCTCTTCCTCATCACCAGCTCTATACCATTCCCAGTAGGCCAGACTCCGCTGTGGACACGACGAGAGAGAAGGGTGGAGGTCAGAGAACAACAGTTTCTACTCGCAGCTACACACAGACAGCTGTCACAGCAGATTAAAGACAGAACACCACTCAGACCGAGGTGTGAGTGTGTCCTCTCTTCTATCAAATAGTTATTCCGTTGTAAATATCATCTATTTTATTTTTTAGTCTAAATACCAAATGTTTGCTTCTTTCCAACTGCTTTGCTGTAAAGACTTTCCCACCCAAAATATATCAGTATAAAACTCAGGCTAAAACTATTTTGAGCCTCTCTACAACAGAAACATAAGCATGAAACCTGTTTCCAGCACATACACACTAACTAACAAGCTTAACAAGCCTAGGCTAGGTCTAAAGATGGTGATACAGATGGGCGACAAATTAAAGGGAAAAACCTGTATGAATGATTGAGGTCAATGGTCACTGAATGATGGGAATCAAACACTATGTCTCTCATAGACCTCTACCAAACTGAAGTCTTGGACTCTCCACTACCATCATCCAACATAAATGTTGTGGAGGCTAGCTGTGACCCTAAACTTCACCAAGGCTCTTTAATTTGTCACCTTCCTGTAAAGCCATAAGGCAAACAGTGTAGCTCTGACCTGAAACTCATATTCACAAGCTTCCGCCCACTCCATCCAGCTCGACCACTACATGATGTCAGCACAAAAGAAGTAAGCCACAATTTAAATATAGCTTAATGGAGCAGAACTGAAACACCGCAAAGTTTCACTAAAATGTCCAAACATGAGACCCATTGTACGGGAACAGCAGCTCCCAACCACATTCAGCTGTTCAGTGCTGTCAACAATATGGTCAGCCAGATGGCTGCTTCAGGTACTTTGTTTAAACCTTGAGGACAGCAAGGGCATCCAAATGAAGCATCATTTGCCAAACAAAATAAGTCTAATGTCAAAACACTAACAACAACAATAATATGGAGAAAGAACAGGTAGATACACTGCACAGAGGCTTTGCTGCAGTAAAATACAAAACATATTTCAGTAAATCTCAGTAAATCTTGGCCTTGGAACTGAAATAGTTGTGAAATGTCTCTCTATTGTTGCTCATGCTTATTTACGTTGGTTGAAAATGTGTAATTTGACCTTCTTAAAAACACATAACAGAGGCACAAAGGTGAATGAATTAATGATAACCGAGCTATATTAGGATATACTGTATGAGTTACGTTAAGTTTAAAGATCTTACACAAAAAGGGTCATGGTTAAAAAATCAATCAATCAATCTCTGTGCCTTCATTTACGCTCACACCCACAACTCCACTAGGCGTTTTGTGTGTGTGAGTGTGGAGTGTGGGTGTGCAACACATTTATCATGTAGTTCCCTGTCATTGATTACATTTACTAAATTCCGTTGTATTAAAATGATTGTCACAGAGCTTTTCCTAATCTTAATGAAATACAAATATTAGCTCCATGTTATTCGCCCAGGTATGACTGAGGACAGGGTGAGGTGGTGTCCTACCTGCAGCATCTGGCTGCCGAGCCCCTCCCTCTCCTTATATGGGCGTATGACTCCATCCTCGTGAATGAAACGCGGCGGTCGCAAAGAGGCGATATCTTGTGAAGTCTCTGCTGCCCTGAAAAATAAAAACAACTGTCTTATGAACTCTTATACATCCTGGATATATATACTACATAACTGCAAACACACACAACGGCTATGGCAAACATTCAGATGTGCACACACACCTAAAGAGCTCCTGCCATGGCCCAATGAGCAGCTGTAATGAAGCTGATTTTGTTTGGACAACTACTGAGCATGGTTTATTTCTGGAAACAAGCATGGCTCAAATAATGATGTTCTTACATGTTTTGGTGTTAAACTCTTTTGTGAGTTTAGCACAGATCCACGTGTCCAATGTACGTGCACATATGCAAACATACACTGGTGTTGTAAAAACATGAACACTGTAGCACATCCATTTGAACACATACACACAGTAATGAACTAGGGCTGCACTCTACCAGGAACAATTGCAATAACTTTGTTGATTATTGCTACAACGATCTAAAATGTGATAAAAACATGTACAAATTATAAAATGTACTCAGTTGTGCCTATCTGCGGCTTTCAGTCAACTGCTTGAACACAAAACAATGTGTGTTGAATAAAAGAATTAAAAAGGAAATACATTTTAACATTACCTTATTGAACATTGAACTGAACATAAATGTTAGGCATACTTTTTTTTCTTAAACATACCCAAAATACACAGTGGAATAAGACAATTTATCTTTTTATCGTGCAAGTTGACGACCTTAAAAACACATGTTCAACATACCTCTTGATCCCTTGGAAAGTACTGCTGGCCATGTCAATAATGCCTCCTGTAGGTCTGGCTACAGCACCAACCAGACCTTTCCCAACACCTTTGAAAAAGCCGGCTGCACCCTCCTTCTGTGCTCCTGAAAAATAACACATCATCAAGGTCATGGAAACTGATATAAAGATCTCCTGACATAAACACAGCTCGTACACTGTTCCAGTAAAAGTACAGAATCCACAACAACAATATTTAGATGTTATGTCATTTCAGCCAATAAGTCGTCATATCAGCAGGCGCCGAATGACCTCGGTTCAACTCAACATACCTTTGATAGGTTTGGTGACAATGCCCGTGATGCCACTGACAAAACCCTGAGGGGGGAAACAAAACACAATTACCAAGTAGCAGCAGATCATTCATTACTTTACATTTTCTCAGGTCAAAAAGGTAGATTTCTGGTTCGTTAACACAAGTTTGAGTACGTACAGACACTAATCCCTTTCCCCCCCTGGCCAGCCCCTCTCTCAGGCCACTGGGTTGTTTGTTCATAGTTTCTCGTCTTTTCTGCTGGTACTCCTCGTCCATCGTTATGGCAGCGACGCCCTTCGCCATGGCTCCAGTGATCCTGGAGGCTGCACCTGCTATTCCCCCTGGAAGGCACATAATAGTGTTTATAGTTATTATTTCTTTCATATGTCTATTTTCTCTTGAACATCTCTTGTGGGAGATATCGTTACTATTTTCTTCTTTCACTGTCCCTTCATCTTCTGTTCATATGGCAAGGAAATCTAATTTAAATAGCACATTTCTTTAACAGGTGAGAATGAGACGTGAAACCTGGCTAACCCATCCCAAAGTAGCACAAACACATACAATAATTCATCATAAGCCTGAGAAAAAAAGAAACATGTTAAGGTAACTGTTGAATGTAAACAGTAGTGAGAGATCATACATCTCATATTTGTTCGAATAACAAAAGTACCGCTACAAAATGTGTAATTTGCCTACACAAAAAACATTGAATAGTTCCTGACAAAAGGAGGAATAACGTGTTTAAATATCCCTTTATTTACCGCAGATATCCATTTCAGATTTCTGCTAAAGCGATCAAAATACTTTTTTTATAAGCGCGCCGTACTTACCTACAGCTCCTCCCACCAGAGCCTTCACCCCCAGAGCCATTCCTTCAACAAACTCCTCGGGCCCCTGGATGGCTCCCTGAAGAACCCCAGATAACAGTTATACACGAAGAAGACTTAAAAGACAATATCTCTGCTGCTTACAATCTCCAGAGTCCTATATTCAAAGTTAGAGTATTGTGTAAATGTTCCCCTTAAATAATAAGAATTCAAAGTAAGCTTTTGGTTTTGAATGCCTCAACATTGATAGTCTATTTTAGCATTACATTCCTACCTGATACGGCTCATAGAAGAAGGCTTCCACGCCCTCCGACAGTCCTCTGATCAGCCCGAAAGGATTTCCAAGTACATCCAGGCCCAGCACCAGCACATACATCTGTTTAATAGCCTGAAATAAGCAAAGATCAAAACTGGTAAGCTCAATGGTAGCCAGGATCTGGTCTTTATTCATGTTATTCAATAAAACCTTGAGGAACTTCAAAATAAATTCAATCTGAAAACATTTTATAATCTTGGCTTTTGTCCTTGTGTGCATGTGTGAATGTGTGTTACCTGCTTAGAATAATGCCTGATGACCTCCCATTGTAGCTGCTGGGTGGTACAAAAGCGGAAGGTCAACTCAAAGAAGGCCAGCCTGAAATCAAATATTAAGGACTCCTTCAGCAACACATCACACAAAAACAAAACACTGCTCCTGCGTGTGATTTATGTGTATTCTTATTTGGGCCTTCAAATGATTCTTACTTGAAAACGACGTCCTGCACATCTGTGAGCGTGGCACCGATACTCTTCAGCAGCAGGTTCAGGGACTGGACAGGGATGAGTTCCTTGTCTCTCTTCTCCTTCATGCCGTCTTCCCCTCCCGTACTCAGAGAGAAACTCAAGTGCAGCTGCAACAAAAAGACCAAAACATGACTAAGCGTGGCTGTTTATGGACACAACAGAAACACGTTATGCAGCTGGGTCTTTGTTGCAGTCTTGTAGATTTTGATGCAGTTGTATTCATTAGGGCTGTCAGTCGATTAAAATATTTAATCGCGATTAATCGCATGATTGTCCATAGTTAATCGCAAATGTTTGATCTGTTCTAAATGTACCTTAGAGGAATCTTTTTCAGGTTTTTAATACTCTTATCAACATATGAGTGGACAAATATGCTTTATGCAAATGTTTATTATCATTTGAACAATGACAAATATTCGCCTCAATTCAATCTGGAACCTCTCTCATACAATAATTCAATACAAAGTGTGTGCGTGTGTGTGTGATGGAACGTTGGAGCTATGTGCAACTCAAGGCATATGCTCGAACGGGAGCTGCCTGGACGCTGCAATCATGTTAAAAAAAATACACATGCGTTAATCGCGTTAAAATATTTAGTGGCGTTAATTTTTTGTTGCAGTCTTGTAGATTTTGATGCAGTTGTATTCATGCATTTGACTTTTCCATCACTTGTGGTGGAACAGTGGTGTTTTTGCATTTCCTAACTACACTGTAGTATACAATTTACAAACCTTGATGGGGGAGATGTGGAAGTACTCGTAGAGGCTGATGGGAGAGGTGTCAGCAGCAGAGACATGGTTCAGTTCTGTCTTTATGTACTCTATGTCCTTCTCAAACAGTTCCACCTAGTGGAATAAAACAAGCATTGGCATATACAAAAGTCAGAATGTATGACTCTTTAGATGTAACTTGTGTGTCCCAGATTCTGGACAAAAGACTCTTTATATGAGAGTATCTGACCTCCTGTTGTGAGGTCATGATGCTGGCGTTCTCAGGAGTGAACAGGTCCAGGATGGCGTACAGGAAGCCCAGGTCGAGCTTCAGGTCCATCTCTTGGATCAACACCTTGAAGTACCTGAGGTGGACAAACATTTCCATCACAGCTTTGAAGTTGAATGAAAGAAAACAGTTATTCCAGGAAAAGATTGAAAAGAAAATAGTTTTCAGATCAATGAAATATTAGAGAGTAAGGAGTAAGACTGAGCACAGAAACGGTATAAAGGACAGTGGAAAGACACTTGAGGAGCTGGGAGAAGTCAGAAAATCATTCAAAGTAAAAATTACTTGATGCGTGAGATATCAGAGTGCCCTGCTGTTCTGGTAACAATGCTGATGTCAGTTAGAGGTTTGGGTTCTGTAATAAAAATACAAATAAAATAATGTTACAAATTGAAACACTGCATACAAACAGCACATAATGCTAAACATGACGTACAAGAGGAATAGCAGACCTGCATCCATGGTGATAGACTTTGGCAGTTTCACGGGGTAAAACACATACGGGAAGATGGCTCCGGGGAGCTGGTTCTGGATCTGCACGAGGAAAGGATGCATACTTAAAGCTGATCAATAATAATCAAAATGTACCGATGAACAAATGCTGAGGAAGGCATTTGGATGACTTGTACGCCTGTAATTAGGACATATACACATACTTGATATTAAGAGTACATTTTGATTATGTGTGGCTGTACCTGAATGCGGTGGATCTGGACACGGTAGGCTCTTTGTCGTGGAGAGACGCTGTACTCCACCTTCACTGCAGGCAGGAAGTGCCTCCTGAGAGGAGCATCACACGGCTGCAACATCTGCATATCCTGGCCGTTCGGAGTAAAGGCCACCTGGAGGAGATTTACATTTGTGTTAAATTATTGAACAAGAAGGCCAGCGACAAAGGATTATGTGTCAATAATCAACCACCTGCAGCTGCAACTTTTTTAATTACATTTTATGAGTATAAACTCGACCTAAGTCACATGAAATGGACAACTTTAGTCACTTTATCTTTCCCTGGACCCGGGTTCAAATAAGAGAAGCTTAATAAACAGTATTTAGTCTCTAACCTGGAAGTTGTTATCCAGGTCAGTGATGGCGTGGTCTACGGGGCAAGACTCCATGTACTCTTTGAATTTGCTCTCCAGCATCTCAGCTTCTTTAGTGCTCATAGACTTCCACCGATTCTTCTTCTTAGGCTTTAACTCCCACACCACATCAGAGCTGAGGCAACAAAGAAGAAAGCAGAGTGTAAGGTCATTAGGGAATGCAAAGAAAGTTGGTTTTAAATAGCACATTTAAGCCACAAGGCGATTCAAAGTGTGTTGAAACAACCATCAAAACTAAATGGAAAGGAAACACAGCACAAAAGGGCTTTCAAATACAACTTCACACAGGCATTGAAAAGCCAAAACTCAGACATGCGCATGTGTATGTCGCTGTACCTTGTGATCCCAATGAAGGAGATCTCCTGGCCGCTGCTGTTGTTGACCAGAGACACGCCCACGTTCTGCAGCGACAGGATGATTTCCTGTTCGGCCAGCTGAGCCTTTTCGCTCTCACAGAGCAGCTTGTAGATGCGTAGCTCCTCAGTGAAGAGCACAACTCGCTGGAGACCTTTGGATCAACAATAAACACTTATCACACAACAAGATAAAGCAAACCAAGACAGAAATGTTGGTAGCTGTGTCTACATACTCTTATTATCTTTAATATAAAACGTTAAAACAATGCATTGGAATATGCTTTGTTACTTTGTACTGAAGTACTAATTACATGCTTAACGATTAAGCTATTGAATCAAAAAGCTTTACAAACTGTCAAGCAACCTCTTGTAAGCTGGGTATGATCACTTTTAATATATCTTATCTATTTATTTTAGCCTTTTGAAGTTTGCTTTTGAAGTGTTGTGATAATCAGAAATACCAGGAGAGGGCAGCGTAATCAAAATCTGTCCAGAAATGCGTCTTTTCTGGCAGAATCCATTTAAGAGATCTGTGTTTTAAACTATTTGTACTTTACCTTCATAGAAGGACATCACAAATAGTTTCCCCTCATTGTTCACGTTCACCCGCAGGTCCTAAAGATGGAAGAGCAGACAAACACGCGTTGTTTAAAAGTAACATCATTTTGTTAAACACAACAAAGACTGAGCCCCAGTTTATTATGACATTGTAAATTGTATTTATAAAATGTATTATCAACTAACAACTCTTTGTTTTCAAGTCAATGTTTTCATTTAGTCAATTTAGAAATGGCATGCACCGACAGTATTATGCTGGTATCACCTACTAATATGTGGAACTATGATATGAGTATCATTTTAAAAAGGGATACTTAAGATGTTAATTCAAATGGCAAAGATAATCTACAACATTGGCAATAAACCTCAGTAAACTAAACAACCAAAATAAGGATAGAGCTACTTAACTAGATATTAGGACTGTATTTCTAAGTAGTACCGTACATGCTTTAATCAACATCACAGGATCCTTTCGTTTGTTTTCTAAAAAGGTTCTATATAAATACTTGAGCTTATAAAAGTCATGAGTGTGAGGACTACAAGGTCTATGTCTAAGGTAAGACATTTAGCTTTAATGCTGAAACAAATGGCTGTGAGAAACACCTTTACTTATGATAAGATAAAGGTTAAATGAAGATGTCTGTTATAAATAAAAAAGGTATACATACTGTATTATTCCTCTACCACAAACAGTCTTATGTCTCAGGCACAGTACCTCCTCACTCTTCAGCTTCCCATTGTAAGTACCGCACTTCCAGCAGAGCTCTCGGGACCCGGTGGGTTCGGTCCAGGTGTAATGCACCGCTCTCCCAGCCTCCAGCCCCTCGTGCTCTGCCTCCTTCTGAGAGCTGCACACACCCAGACACACACACATACCGTATACGTCAATAACATTTCTTAAAACAACTAAAATTAAGAAATAGTATTCCACTCATTTGAGATGATAGAAATGAAGATATGCAAGACTACAGCACAGTAAACCAGAGGACAATATAACAGAGCCCAGCCACCAAGAATATACCGACATTACAAAGTACCTCTCCGACAGAATACACAAACTACTCCCATCAACGGACAGAAACATGACAGCATGACGGAAAGACGGCCAAACACCGAGAGAGCCCCCAATACCTCGGCTGGAGAGATAGAGTTTATATATGCATGACTACTCTGATCTCGATTCGGACGAGACAAAGCAGACATTAGACAATGGAAAAAGCCAAAGTCTACAGATGGGGATGGAAAACAAGAGTCAGCAACAGAGCTCCTGGAAGAAGCAGGAGGTGTGATTCCACCAGCGGAATCCCATCCAGACGGCAGCATTCAAAACTAGTATTTCTTTAACGCTTAGATCAAAGAAACATAGTAATACATGAGAATGGGTTTTGATGTCTAACCTGCTCCATTAACTCTGGCCCAATGGTCTATCAGTGTGCATTTCTAGCGTCAATAGAAAGGTGTGTATGTAAGCGACGCTGAGTGTTTTTAAATGCCATTTTATAATATGTTTCTGATACACTATTTCTTAATGCTCTTAATGTATTTCATTTTGGTAAAGCACTTTGTGTTAAAAGGTGCTATATAAATAAACTTGCCTTTCCTTGCTTCTTAAATAAATAAGGTTGGAAACATTATAAAAAAAGAAATTCCAGTTTTCAAACAAAATGTAATCCCTGTGTAAATAGTTGTGTTATATTTAGATTAAATTCTAGTCTAATGATGACAGCAACATTATTTCTGAATGTTGGACAAGGCCTGGATGATATGTATCTGTCATTGGTAAAGGTGAGGAGCAGATTACACAGAAAAACCAGAACCAAAGCTGTATTCTTCGTCCACATATCTTTACCTGCACTCTTGATCTGAACACACTTTGCACTCCACTGTTGAACTCAAATTAAAAATAACTAGCACTTTTGAAATGTTATACCAAATCATATTGAGGGGCTGCATCAACTGTGTGTCTTTGTCTGTGCCCTCTTTCCTGCCCCATTCATTGTTTATGGATCTTTGGAGTTGTGTTTTCATTTCATATGTAGTTTTACCACATAGTGACAGCCTCCTTCCTTCCCCATTTGCTCAAGAGAGCTCTTATACTAGCTTTCTGAGGCTGTTCTTTTCCCCCTATTTTTAATCATGAGTATCTTTCTGAGTTCAAAGTGTGTCAGAAGAGTTTTTACTTTTCCATATTTTTCTACCTGTCCTCCTCCTCTGAGAAGGAGAGGTCGAGTAGCTTGTCGGCCACCCAATTGGAATCTGTCAAAGCGCTGCGTGACCCACAACACAAAAAAACAAATGGCTATCAGCAACACGCTGTTAGTTATCATAGACTGTTTAAAACTGCTGCAACAAGAGAAAAGAGCGTCATTAAACACATATGCAAAGTACATAACAATGAAATGTAGATGTTGAACATGAATAAATCCCACTTTGTTAAAACTTTGAGCTGCTGATCACAAAGTGAGTTATATGAAAAGACTTCATTCAGAACCAAAAATAAAACACAAAGGCTGAATCATTGTCACGGCAAACATCCTACTTTGGGTTTTGAGAGATTTTCAGTTTACACTTCATTGTGCACTTCACACTTAGGGTGAGTGTGATGCATCCACAAGATGATTCAAGTTGGAGCACTATGAAAGCACATTTACAGACAACACTTATACCAACAAAGTACTGAAATATTATAAGATAAAGCAGTAGGAAAAGTCTTACAATAACTTGTCAACTGATCAGATAATTGTCCCTTAGCAAGCTGAATTTTCTACATCCAAAACAGTCCTAACCTGCTGTACATTTTTTATTTCTGTGGTAGTTTAAGAGCCCAGTGATCCCATGATGAACCGTGGTCACAAGCTTCATCCATCCTGATTCTAATATCTAACTTCTCAACCTTTTTGCAAATATATCCCACACTTACTGCTGAAACAAAACTGCACTGTATAAAATGTTAAGTTTATTTCCCTGCCTTTTCTCCTATTGTCTCACCTCTGATAAAACTGCAGTGTCTGGTCCTTTGTGTTGTTGATGATGAGGAAAGGGGCTGCGCCATCGTGATACTCAGAGAAGCGGATCGTGGCCGAGTGCTCGGACAAGTTCACATTTACAGTGATCCCACCCACCTGCAGGAAAGAAAATCATAATTGACATACTCTTACAAGATCTTTTCAAAATGCTCTTTAAGAAGAAAATAAGTTATAACTGTGCATTTCTCTCTCTCTCTGTGTGTGTGTGTGTGTGTGTGTGTGTGTGTGTGTGTGTGTGTGTGTGTGTGTGTGTGTGTGTGTGTGTGTGTGTGTGTGTGTGTGTGTGTGTGCTTACAGAGTTGTCCAGATGCAGAAGTAGGCAGTTTTCTGGTCGTGTGAAGTCAATCGTCCGAGGAGGCAACAAGCAACCTTCCACTTTGATCTTCAGCCGCTTGGTGTCGTTCTCAGGCCAAAAGGGAATGGCTGACTAAATACGGAATAAAACAAAAATATTTAATAACATGTACAGTGTGGGCTTCACCTGAAATTGATACACAATAATCATTCAGTTTAAAAAAAACCTAACCTTTAGATCTGTAATCATTGATGTAGCTTACTAGTCTAGACCTTTGATATCAAACTAAAACATGTTTAAGAGAGGCATTCATCTATAGCAGTGCTTCTCAAAATGGTGGTCCGTGAGCTCCCCCTAGTGGTCCGTGAGTATATTGGTAAAATTTCACATTTGAAATAAATAAATACATTTAAGTTATCCGCACTCTCGCGGCAATATCTCTGCAATGGAGCGAGCTTAAGTTTCAATTCCAATTGCATGATATAGCCCAGTGCAACACCGTCATCACACATGTTGCCAATTGTTTGTATCATTTTCAGTGTTTGGACTAACGCGTTACTGTAACGCAACTACTTTTTGCAGTAACTAATAGCGTTACTAGTTACCTATTCCCATTAAGTAACGCCGTTATAGTTACTGTGATTTAAATGGGTGCGTTACTGCGTTACATTATGTGATGGAACTGAACCGAATCTCCCTGCGGATGTAATTTACAGGCGAATACAGTGATGTCCTCTCACAGCACCATGGAAAAGTGAAAGTAACCAGAGAGGAGTGATGATTGGTTAACGCGAGGTAACATTTCAGGGTAAGCCAATCAGAGACAGAGTTGGGCATGTCTTGCCTTATGGGGAAAATACACACACACGAACACTTGCTATTGCTAACACACACGGCAACGCTCACCACCAGCACAAAACACACACAATGGCAGATGCAAGTATCAGCGAGAGCAGCAGCGCATTTGCAACTTGGAAATATAATCACTATTTTCAATTTGTGGGGATAAAGGATGCAAAAAATATTACGGTCAAATGTAAACTGTGTGCAGGACAGAAAGCATTGTCCACATCGAATAACAGCAATGCCGATCTCCTGAAGCACCTAACTAATGTACATGGGGCTAAAAAACTAGTCCCCAAAGACCCCACCGTCTCAACCAATGTCTAAACATATCTTTTGTGTTTTATTGTTCCACTACATTTCATAATGATAATTGCTACAATGATGGGGAGTTGTCTTTTCTCTTACTGTGCCACAGAAAAACACAAAAACTTGTATTTTTATTGTTATTTTTTTTTAAAGTAAAGCCTAACTTCGTTACTAGCTTACTTTTTACTAATTTAGGTAACTAATAAAGCTAGGCAGTTACTTTTTTGAGAGCGAGGTAACTATAGACTAGTTACTAGTTACTTTTAAAGTTAACTTGCGCCCAACACTCGCATCATTTTCAGGTGATTTGTGAATTTGTTCTAGTGAAAAACGATGTGATTTTGGATATGTTGTGAGTTAAGGTGGTCCGTGAGCTGGTTTTTTATTGGTTAGTGTGGTCCTTGGTAATGAAAAAGTTTTGTTTTCAGCAAACACTGATCTAGTAGACAGGAGAGTACAGTAATTAGAGGAAAGAGGTTGGTTTTCCACATGCACAACAAAAGAATAAGGTTACGCAAGACAATGATGTAGTACCCGAGTAAAAAAACAACACTGTAGCCAAAATATAAACATACATATAGGCCTAAATATAAATAAAAGAGGGTAACAGAATTGTAAAAGAAAAAGTAAATTTGCAATAAGTCAACAGCAGTGTTTGATCCCTGCAGCTATTAACACGCGGTGGTTAAAGTGTACTGGACATTGAGTCTATGGGCCTCAGGCAGGTGGCGGCTGGTGTAACAGTGCTTCCGACCGTCCACACTCACAACAACAGTCCTATACAGACATAAATAACCAGCGACTGCCCTAAGTGCCCATGACAGACAGTATGGTGGGTTGTTGTTACTTGTTTTAACTGTTTGTCTTAGCTTCGAACAGAGTAGGAAGAGCTGCTGAGCTCTGAGTGCTAGAGCCTAACAGCTGTGTGTGGTTTTCTGGGGAGCTCATGTTGAACATGACGTCACGCTCCGGGCGCTACACATGCATTACTCATCCTAGGACTGTACTATAGATACCTACCCAGTTCCCACGTATGTCTAAAAAACAACTCACGTCAACGCATCGTAAGCAACGTGGGCGCCAACACGTGAGCTGCGCCCCTGCTGACAGGAATATGTGACGGCGGGCTGATTCACGCGTAATACACACATGCACACAGCAAGCCGACTTCACACTTGGTATTTCCGGATCCCACACGTTAGTGTTTTTATATACGGCGTACATGTAAATAAAATCCAAATTACAGGAAAAAAGTTTTACAGTATGTATTTGTGATCCACACATGTTGTTTTCCGTTAAATCCCCGCCTGTGAACCTGCAAAACACAAGCCGGCTTTCTGCTGCATGCGATCGCTGCTGCATTGCTGTGTGGCTTTTTTGACACTCCCTGACGTCACCAGATTTTTCTACTGTGCTAATTTTCGATATTCTATAGCCCAATCAGCAGCTTTCTCAATTCTAAGCGCATACCACATGAGCGCCACCGCCCCACGGAGGCTAGTGATGTTATGCGTTGCCATGGACACTTGCATATACGATTTTGCGCATACCGTTCAGCTCGCTAAACAGAGGCGGAGCTTCAGGTGATCATGCAGAGCTGCATGTCTCCGGTCGACCCAGCAGCTGATGGCTGTGATCTCTCTCTTCCGCGCCCGGTACACTTCACTCGCGTTGTAGTGGTCCATATCGATCAGATCAGCTCTCCTTGATCGCCGTTTATAGAGAGCACCGGATCTATGTGAAGAACTATTAAGAGCCCATATTAGTCAGTTAAGATAAAGTGTTTCATTGTGTTAAATAGCATTTAAGTAGCTATGTAATTTACACGATAAAAAGCCATGGCAGGGAAACACAGACGCAAACAATGATGGGTTTGCCTCTGAGCCTGTAGGCGGCTGTAGCTTCGCGTCCAGTTGCTCCTGCCGCTCTTCACAAATGAACGGACGCTGGCCTGTGGTTCTGTTGACCAGCAATGTAAACAATGCGCACGGGAACGGGTCACGGATGCCGGCTCAGACTGAAACATGCCCTGCGTCAATCTTCGACGCCCAACCTGAGGTCGACACAGAAGCGTCAGCGCCAAAGTACACGCAGATGACACTCAGGTACATTTCGCCAATAAGAGTTACAGACCAAAGTCACTGTTCGAAAATGCTATTAATCTTACGTTTATGTGTGGGGAAATTTACCAAGCTAGTCGTCTTGTATCGCCTTGCCCATTTCACATCTCCATAGCTCCAAACTTTATATCCAGGGAAAAATCATCGTTGAGTAGGCACTGTCTGATATCATGAGACGGACCTGAGGGATGAACATAATGACCACATCTATTGATTGAACCAGATACTCACTCTCAACTCAAATTAAAGTGTAGGTATCTGTACAGTTTTCACTTCAACATGGACAACCTGCCTCGAAAAGTAAGCCAGCAGACTTTTTCCTGCCGAGCCATAAGTTGTGTATGGCCTTTCGATATTTGTTTCTGAGAGATATTACCTTAAGATTGCCGCTATCATTTTCACCTGATCTACAAGCCATGAGGGGAATCAATGTAATATGGGCTATATAGTTGTTTATTGGGTTTCTCCTACATAAACGGAGGTACAGACACACCGAATAGATTTCGACAACATCCTACGGGCACCTCATTGACTCCCACCTACTTTCACTATGCTCGCCGTGGTGGGGGAGTAATTAAAGGTTGCTATGCTCTCGCCGTCGTTATAGATAGCCTATGGTGGTTTGTCCATGATTAGTAAATAGAACCCCTAATTAACCCTCGTTATATTGTTTATTTTAGCGAACCTTTTAGATTTGAGTTGAGAGTGGAGTATGGTGTCATACATAATTGTGGTGGGGGATGACTATAGAGCGGTTCAATCCGTTGCCGGTCGCCGTTTTTGGACAGGACGCGAGCGGAGCACTCTCGCGCAGCGCTCGCAGGGGTCCATTGTCGCTTAGGTCCATGACGTGGGGTGTTCCGGTATGGAATAGGAGTGTCGCACTGAATTGCAGCGGAACGCGCCGTGTTAACCGCTGGGCGCGAGCAGACCTGCCCTGCTGCTGATGCTTTCGCAGCCAAAGCCGAATACTGGTGTGGTGGGTAATAGACGACTTTACCCCAAACAGTACCGCCCATGAGTTAGATCCGTGTTAACTATGGAGTTATATATTCAACTATGTCGCAAAAGATGGAGCCTGCTTTGTCGCGTACTCAGCTCAAGGCCCTCTTCTTGATGTCGGGGACCTACAGGTCCGTAGATGTGCGCTCCCACATCCTCCTTATCGGTTTTGACGTGTTCAATCATGTACTGTCGTAGAGGAGCTGAGTAATCTGCGATGGAAGTCAATGCTGTGCGACTCTCTGTCGACTGTGTGTGAAGCGGCAGAGTGTAGGTGTGAAAGGATGACGCAGAGGCCAGAGATTATCATTGTGTGTTCGTAAAGGCATCGTTGTTGAACTTGCTCGCGCTCTCTTGCCTGTGTTGTGTAAAGCTCCTAGTAGTGTCGTGCTAAAATGGTTTGCACAAGAACCACCTCGCGCGAGGATTGCTGGCGTGCTGTCATTTTGGCCATTGCCAGAATGTCGGGCACGGAATTAGACCGCCGAAGTAACCGCCAGGCGGCGCGAGGAAGGTCAGAGCCAACTATGCATGCAAGATGTTTGCAAGTGTTCAGTGCTAGTTATATTCTCGACTTGTCCTTTATTGTCATTCTTTTGATCGTAGTAATTAATGACCTACTTAATATGATGTGTTAATATAGTATTTAAACAGATGAAAGCACTGTTTTGATCTTAACGCGACTTAATTATGGCGGGGCTCTTAACTAGTTAATAAATGGATCGGTGGCTGCTCTGATAAAAGGTCCGATCAGGAGAGCTGGATTCTGATCGATAGTGGACATAAACGCGGCTGAGATGTTAACCGGACGGCAGAGAGAGATCAGGATCAGCTTGCGTTGCGGTCTTGAACGGCGACATGGCAGGGCTCTGGCATTGAGTCACCTGAAGCTCCGCGCTGCGTGTGGTGTAGAGCGACGAAGGCGTGGAACGGTTGATGCGCCCATCAAAATGGGCGTATAATGAAATCGTCGATGAACGCAATTAATATGCGATTACCCTCGTGGGGGTGCGGGGCTCCATGTGCGTTGGTCTTAGAAGTTGAGGAAGATCTGATTGTGCTGAGTAGGATAGAGGAAAAGATTACACGAGTACCATCTGGGTGAGCGTCAGGGGGAAGGTCTCAAAAAACCGCACCACACGAATGCCACAGGCGGGGATCGCCGGGCATGCCACAGAAAAGCGGGTTTGTGTTTGGCCAGGTTCAGGGGGGATTGAAACGGAAATCCCAAATGTGTGGATCAAAAACTACAGTATGTTGAAAACAACTTGTTGTTTTGCTGGTATTTGAGGTTTTTATTTCCATGTGTACGCGTTCTCTCTCGTCTCGCCTCGCCTCCCCACCCATACAGACGTCGCCCCTCCTTTCGTCCGCTGCACCCTGGTACGCTCTATTAGTTGCGTAAGGCTTGCCGCGCGCGTCCAATACTCCCTTCCGCCTCCACCGACCGCGCCGCTCCCCGTTTGGCCCCCCGTCCTCTGGGCTTTAGCGCTCCGCGGTTCGCCGTGCTCCCGCGAGTCGGTGAGGACTGGGGGTATATGCCCCGCCCGGTTTAGTAGTCTGTGTAGCGCGGCATCCTGTGGAGTGAAGCGAGTGTGACCCAGCGCCGCCTGGGAGCGTGCGATTCCAAGGGATGAGGGCTCCCCAGAAAAACGCAAGCACAGCTGTTAGGCTCTTAGCCATGCAGAGCTGCACAGCTCTTCATATCTGTTCAGACAACTAGAGCGAAGAAGTTAAACCAAGTACAAGAACCACCATGACTGGTCCTTGTCATGGCGATTACAGTCCGGGTAATCGTGTATTTATGTCTGTATTAGGGCTGTTGTTGTGAGTGGTGGCGACGCGGGTGTTCGGAGCCATTTACCAACCAGCGCGCCCACCCTGCCTGAGCGCGAGTAGGACTATGTCCAGTACAGTTTAAACCCGTGTTAAGTATCGCCTCAGGATCATAAGCACTGCTGACTTTAGCTTATTGCAATTTGGTTTTCTTGTTTACAGTTTGTTTACCCTCCTGTTTATTGGTATATTTAGCCCGCCTGTATATGGTATTTTATATTTTGTTACAGCTGTTGTCTTTTTGGAGTGGTGACGTATGGTATTTGTTGTGATATTACTTCTTTTGTTGTGCATGTGGAGAGAACCAACCTCGTTTCCTCCTCTGATCTACTGACCTCTGCCTGTCTAGTAGATCAGTGTTCTCATAACCTTTTTCATACCCAAGGACCCACATAACCAATAAAAAAAACAGCTGCAACGACCACCTAACTCCACAAATATGCCAAAACTCACATCGGGTTTTTCTAGCATGACAGAATTACAAAGTCACCTGAAGAGATGATCAGTGTTGGGCAAGTTACTTTTAAAAGTGAAGGGTAGTAATGTAGTTATAGTTACTGCTCTCACGAGAAAAGTAACTAGTTACTTTTATTACGTTGATAAATTATAAAAAGTAACGTAGTAACCAAGTACTTTAACTTTGAAAAATAATTAAGCAATAAAAATGCAAGTTTGTGTTGTTCTGTGGCACAGTAAGAGGGAAAAAGGACAGGGGCTCGCGCGCCCATCATTGTAGCAATGATCATTAGCGAAATGTAGTGGAACAATAAAACACAACAAGAGTATGTTGTAGACATTGGTTGAGACGGGTGGGGTCTTTGGGACTAGTTTTATAGCCCCATGTACAGTTAGTTAGGTGTTTCAGGAGATCGGAGCATTGCTTGTTATTCGAAATGTGGACAATGCTTTCTGTCCTGCACCACAGTGTTACATTTTACCCGTAAGCTTTTTTGCGTCCTTTACCCACAGAATTGAGAATAGGTGGATTATATTTTCCAAGTGCAAGAGTGCGTCTGCTGCTGTCTCAGCTGATACTTGCGATCTGCCATTGTGTGTGGTTTTGGCTGGGTGGTGAGCGGTTGCCTTGTGTGTTAGCAATAGCAACGTGTTCGTGTGTGTGTATTTTCCCCATAAGCAAAGACATTGCCCAACTCTGTCTCTGATTGGCTTACCCTGAAATGTTTACCAGGGTAACCAATCCATCACTCCTCTCTGGTTAGCTTTCACTTTTCAGGTGCTGTGAGAGGGGACATCACTGTATTCGCCTGTAAATTACATCCGCAGGGGAGATTCGGATCATTCCATCACATAATGTAACGCTGGGGTGGAGTAACGCACCCCATTAAATCACAGTAACTATAACGGCGTTACTTATGGGGAATAGGGTAACTAGTAACGCTATTAGCTACTGCAAAAAAGTAGTGCGTTACAGTAACGCAGTTAGCTCCAAACACTGAAAATGATACAAAACAATTGCGCAGACATGTGTGATGCCGGTGTGTTGCACTGAGCTTATATGCGCGGTGCAATTGGAATTGAAACTTAAGCTCGCTCCATTGCAGAGATATTGCCGCGGAGGTGCGGATAACTTAAGAGTGCTTATTTTTATTTCAAATGTGGAAATTCTTACCATATACTTCACGGACTAGCGCGCGCGCCGCGCCCTCACGGAACCACCAGGTGGTCCGCGACCACATTTTGAGAAGCAGATAGAGGCTGCTATAGATGAATGCCTCTGTTCGGTGGTGAGATGAGGAGGTGTGTGGTTGAGGGTGTGTGTGGAGTGAGGCAGGAGGGGTCTAGACTAGTAAAGCTACATCAATGGTTATCAGATCTATAAGGTTAGGTATTCTTTTAAACTGAATTGAGTTATTGTTATCAATTTCAGGTTGAAGCCCACACTGACATGTTATTAAATATTCTTGTTTTATTCCGTATTTAGTCAGCCATTCCCTTTTGGCTTGGAGAACGACACCAAGCGGCTGAAGACCTCAAAGTGAAGGTTTGCTTGTTGCTGCCTCGGACGATTGAGCTTCCACACGACCAGAAAACTGCCTACTTCTGCATCTTGGACAAACTCTGTAAGCACACACACACACACACCACACACCACACAACACACACACAACACACACACCACACAACACACACACCAACACACACCACACGACACACACACACAGCCACACACAGCGAGCACTAACCCATCCGCTAGCGTATGAGTGACCGAGCGCGAGCGACACACACATCCTGTAGAATCGGATAGGTACTCTGGGAGCGTACAGTATGCCGGTTTCCGATGAAGCATAATCACATTTCAAAAATAACGATGCGGGAAAAGAACTTCAACAGAATGAGATGACATCAAAGTCCAACCTGTATCAGAAGACCAGTCCTGCATCCAAGTAGTTCAGTTAGGCACAGATCGATACTGGATGTTGTTGTTTATGTTGTATGTCTTCCTGTGTCAGGATGTGTGAGACGCACACGTATCCATCAACTATCTATCGACTCGCTCGATTTATCTATCACAGCGACAGAGAGCAGAGCAACTATGACCAGCACACTCTCCTGCGACTATTCGCACGCAAACACGGCAGAACAAACACACACACTATGAGAGAGTCTCTCTAATATATCTCTCTCAACGAGTGATTCTCAATGAGCGTGAGATTGTGTCTCTTTAATATAGAGCATGATTTTAATTGTGATTGATTGTAGCGAGATGTTCTGTTTCTATGCACGGATCTTTTAGTAAGGGATTCAGGATATACGACCTCTAAATAAGATATGTTGAAGCACTTGCCCGTCATTCTCTAGCTAACTCTGCTCTGAAGCGTCCGTTCTTGACGTGAGTAATCACGCGAACATGCGCGCAGATGCCCATCGTAGTGCTCAGAATCAAATCTCTGCAAACACAAATAAGATAAATGGAGAACTACCGCTAATTTTCGGTTTACTTAGTAAGCCGCGCCTCTGGTTTCCCAGGTTTGTCGAGCTCGCGTAGGGCTTTATAGTAACGGTGCGGCTAATCTATGGGATTTGTACAGCTAACGGGCCCACTTAGGGAGCGCTCCTAATCGTATGGAGGGTTACAGGGTTACAGTCCACCACCTTTAGACTGCTATGGGCTCTGATGGCGTCCGTGCCCCCCAGCCTTTAAGTCGGGCGGCTTCCAGCAGGAAAAGGCTGTGGGAGGCCGGGAAAGAGTGAGACAGGTAGGGGCAGAGTAAAAGTGGAAGGCCGAGAGTGGTACGAGGAGACAAGCGGAAGCAAGACAGAGCAGACATGACGAGAGCGAGGACAGTGTGTGTCCCCGTACCAGGAAAACCATGCTTGAGATCGCACGCCGTACGTGCCTGGGAGCCAGCCGTTTAGAGTTTGAAAGTTGAAAAGTTTGGGGGGTCTGA